CAACACTAAATATTTCTCGTTACAGTTAAACGACACATGGAGACGAAAAAAGCAGTTGCTTTTGAATAAAATAAAAAGTTTTTTTCCGGTTTAGGCCTCTAAGAACCTTTTCAGGATGGAAAAGAAAGGCTAAAAGAGGGTCCACGTGGCATTAGACGAGACTCGTGAAGTCCTAAAACACGATATTGACACACTCTGCAAGACAAATTGTGGCAAGAGAGGATCGCTAGAGCAATGTTTACGGTGTGCCTTTTTTAAGAATAGCGGTTAAAATTTTCCAAAGCAGGAACTCGATGGCAGGTATCGAACCCAGTCCCTTCAGTTCCGGACGGACTAACTACTGACTAAACTGCCGGCTATAAACTAGCCTTCCTTTCCTCCCTATCCCCTGCCACCCCATTTGACGTCTTCGAAAGTAAAATACTACCTGAAGATCTAAGGTTATATAAGGACGATTTAAATGTTAGTAAATCGCATAGATATTTAGGAGCAAGGCTCTGAATTGCTTTGAACGTAATACTTGCAGTATCTTAAATTGTTTTCGGGCTTTAACAGGAAGCCAATGCAGACCACGAAGAAGGGGTGAGATGTGGCAAAACCTAGGGGTATTACAAACTAGCCAGGCTGAGGCATTCAAAACTCTCTGCAATTTGTTAAGCTGGTAGTTGGGCAGCCCATACAAAAGACTATTACAATAGACAAGCATTTCCGTTGATTCTCGAGACAAATACTTTGTATAGACTCGCGGTTCTTGTTGTTTAGACTCCTTTGCAACAACAGCTATACAGGGCTATACAGACAATTAACACAAAACTGAATGCAAGGCTGGCAATACAGAAAAGGACTGATATATTTGAGTCCAATCTTTCGGCTAACAAATAAGACTTTCTCAGGGCCAGAGCTACACTGAAAAGGAATCCCTGACTATAACGGCTCGTAAAATACAGACAATGTCTGTTCTTTGTTTAAGACAATTCAAAGCGTCTATTCGACTCTCTTTATATTATATAATGTAATGGGTGCCCAAGCAATTGATATCCGATTTTGTGAAATAGTCATGATNTCCCTATCCCCTGCCACCCCATTTGACGTCTTCGAAAGTAAAATACTACCTGAAGATCTAAGGTTATATAAGGACGATTTAAATGTTAGTAAATCGCATAGATATTTAGGAGCAAGGCTCTGAATTGCTTTGAACGTAATACTTGCAGTATCTTAAATTGTTTTCGGGCTTTAACAGGAAGCCAATGCAGACCACGAAGAAGGGGTGAGATGTGGCAAAACCTAGGGGTATTACAAACTAGCCAGGCTGAGGCATTCAAAACTCTCTGCAATTTGTTAAGCTGGTAGTTGGGCAGCCCATACAAAAGACTATTACAATAGACAAGCATTTCCGTTGATTCTCGAGACAAATACTTTGTATAGACTCGCGGTTCTTGTTGTTTAGACTCCTTTGCAACAACAGCTATACAGGGCTATACAGACAATTAACACAAAACTGAATGCAAGGCTGGCAATACAGAAAAGGACTGATATATTTGAGTCCAATCTTTCGGCTAACAAATAAGACTTTCTCAGGGCCAGAGCTACACTGAAAAGGAATCCCTGACTATAACGGCTCGTAAAATACAGACAATGTCTGTTCTTTGTTTAAGACAATTCAAAGCGTCTATTCGACTCTCTTTATATTATATAATGTAATGGGTGCCCAAGCAATTGATATCCGATTTTGTGAAATAGTCATGATGTAATCGGTAAGCTTTGAATATTATAGTTTGTGTAAGCGGATGTGAGCCTGAGTGTCAGATAAAGATACTTGAACCAAACATGCTCTGCTGCTGGTAAACTTGTCCTGTGTCCCTCTTACCCCTCCCCTCCTCTGGTTGCCTTTGCTCACTTTCATTTGGGAAACTCGGGAAAAACTGTGAAAGGATAAGCTGGCTAGAAAATGCACTTGTTGCTTTGGTGACGTAAAAACTGAACATGCTGTTTTCCCTTGTCTTCTAGTCTGTTAACAGACGTTGTTTTCTTTTTCTTTTGGAAAATCGGCGAGCACTGTACGAAAGCGAAGTGAGCGGGCGAGAGCGAGCGCGGCACTCCCTTGCACTTGAAGTCAATGAAAACAACGTTGTTTTTATTTTTAGACGCGTGCGCTCAACGATCTCTAAATAGAACATAGGGGGTCTGAGAATAGATACCCAGATACTACCTTCTTCGAATAAGCGTCCACATCTTCAGGGTAAGCCTAATAGGTACAGTAAATTTTCGTTTTAGCTCCCTTCTTCAAAGAAGCCCAACCCTTTGAATTAAAGGAGCTTTCCACTTGTCAGAACTGACCGGCCAGGCAATTCCCGTCGTAATGAGAATTTTACTTTTAATCAATGCTATCCAGACAGATTAGTCAAATCCTAATATATAGTATGCACGAAGGAAATCATTTTTCATAAAAAACTCTTGGAAAAAGTCTATTTCACTTTCAACAACAACAATGAGCTTTATTTGCATGACCATACAAACACATACGTATTGCAAAAGCTATGTTCAGGAATCAAAATTACAACATAGGGCACTCAAAATGAATGATCCTTCCATGGTCCTGCCGGCCAGTTCTGACTTTTGGAAAGCACCCTTTAAGGGCTCACCAAGAGAGAATGAGCTAACACTTTTTATTAAAAACTGAATCATTGGATAATGCAATTCTAGAGCTCTGATATGGTATACGAGCCATTTTTCCATGCTCTCTAAATATGGTAACTCTAAATATGGTATGGTATGTCTGCTGAAAATTAAAAAGCCTGGGCCAAGAGCAAAGCTAAACAAAAAAAGATATTATGTAATGCTAAATAGCCACGGCAATGAGAACGACAAAAAAAACTGTAAGTCTGATTAGCAAACAAAAAAAACCCGACTTTGCACATGCAGCACACAGTCCTGGTTTTTGTACATTTCTTTGCTGTTGATTTGTAAGACTACAACTTGAAACTTAATAGTTGCACGTTTTATCATGGAGGAAATGTCGTATGTGCTCACGAAAAATTTAGTTGCTTGTGTTCTTGTTCACTGCTGCTCATTTTCACCTTGCTGGCCGCTAGCATTTCTCATTGGGGCCATTTATACGAGGAAAAATAAGACGCGTCTTACATAGGACGCGTCTTAAATAAGACGCGAACTTTCCGTATAAACGGCACATTTCGTCTAAAATAAGACGCGGCTTAGCTAAGACGCGTCTTATTAGATAAGACATGCTCGTATAAATGGTACAGTTCGCGTCTTATTTAAGACGCGTCTTATGTAAGACGCGTCTTATTTTTCCTCGTATAAATGGCCCTATNGAACTTCCGATCCTTTGTTTTTCATCTCTCGCTCTCTCTGTAGCTCTTTCTGTTATCCACGTCAGTGAAGACATTAAAATTTAGTCGAAAAAAAGGCTAGGCTTTGTTGTTGTTTTTTTCTGTTTAAAATAAAGACCTGGTGGCCATGCGATTTACCGCCAATACGCGCAGGAGCTTAAATGCGAAATTTCAGCCCGACTTACAGGTAAGGGTGGACGTACGTACGGACGCACGGTCACGTGAATACCAATTTTCTTGCATCTGATAGGTTTCCATTTTCTATAGTAATGGAGGCTCCGCTGCGTGCCTTTTTGGTCCCGAGAGAGCCCCGCTATAATTACCCTTTATGAAATAAGGTATCGCTGAAATGAACGCGACTTTAATTTCGTGAAGTGTTAATTCCCTATAAGGATGTTTAGGATAACATGTATAATCGCTGGAAAGTGACCCATTTGAAGACATCACACTATGGAATGTTATGGATGCAGCTCCTCTCTGCCCTCTGATAATGTGAATAGTACAGGATAATCACCTCCGGGCGAGGCAATAAAAGCACTTTTCAATGGCTTGGTACGGATACCAGTACCTGTTCAGGGGCACCCAAAGAGAAATGTGGAGAAAAAGACCTAAAAACAATAACAAAGCATGAATAAAGCTTTCTGAAGCCATTTTAAACATTTTGGGAGATTGCTAGGAAAAGTTTATCTGTTCCTTGCTCCCAGCAAGACTGATGGAAGAGTTCCCAGCCAGCAAGGTGCACCTACAACCTGACTTACTTGGAAGTTTCCCAGCAGACGTATGTCCAGACATTGCTGGCCAGTTTGGGTGTGGCCATAGGGGCAAAGTTCAGACCTTCAGTGGTGGGGAGGGGGGTGTTCGGTAGGAAAATAGGGGTGACCTATCGGCGAAATTCACCCTTTCAGTGGTGGGGAAGGGGAGGGGAAGGTTTATGACAAATAACCCATAGCAGCTATTCTACACATAAAAACCCTCAGACACCCTGAATTATTTTTTTCCCAGCAACACTTTCCTTGCAAGGACATATTATTTCTTCCACATCACCCAGCCAGCAATTTTTTTTTCGGAAGATATTTTGAGGAACAGATCCATTGGGTGCCCCTGCCTGTTAAAAGCGACTGAAAACAGTTACAACAGAACGTTCAAAGCAAAGAATATATACCACACACTCAAAAAATTCAGAATATGCATAGTGAATATAAGTTTTATTTTTCGTGCTTCATATTGTACTTCATTTGTGACAAATCTTGAGGCTAAAGATCTTTAAAAAAGGAAGAAGAAAACAGAATCCATTAAATTCTCATAAAGAAGGGCGATAGCAAGTCTTGAACCCGGTACCTTCCGCGTAAACGCCGTGGACTGCGATGCTGAAGTTTAGTGATGTGATTAGGGTTAGGGAACTGACTGAATTAGGTTGCATCTAGGGACATTAAGGAGCTCAAGCAACAACGACGGTGACGGCAATGAAAAGGTCTCTTAAAAAGTAAAGTCGCGCTTCTTCAAACTTTATTCCCTCTCAGTTAGTGTTTTGTCCACAACCCTTGCGATGACACACAGCCACTGGTCTTACTGGCCGCTTCGGGTCCGTCGCTTCGATTCGCTTATTTTTAACTGCCCAGCGGACAACACCATTTGTATACGCACTGGCAACGTTTGGCGGCCATTTTGGCTTTGCAGCGGAGAAAGTTAGCAGTCTATATGTCCGCGTTCTTTGAAGCAACTTGCTGAAAAGTTGCTGTTCAAGACAAGCTTTTACACTGAGATATAGACCTGTAATACTGCCATGGCGGATGCCACGGCCAGATCCTTACAGTATGAATATAAAGCGGTAAGTTTAGCACTTTTCTAGCTCTCGATCTGTTTTCAGCCAGCACGTGTTAGCTTAATTAACCCTTCCTGATTATATAAGCTAACGTTGCTGTAGTTTTTGATCGAATTTTACATAGTTGAGCATCTTTTTAGTTGATGTACTTATAGGTCGTTCCTACTTGTTTACCGTGACCTCAGGCAAATGCGCACTTTTGAGCACTGTTTTACATTTATAACTTTATGTATTACCGGTAAAAAACTTAGCTTCGAGCTTGTGGTACCAGGTTCGAATTAGTTTTTTCCGCAAATAGTAATATTATTATTAAAATGACCGCAACTCCAAGGAGTTATTTTTACTTGGGACTCATCTGAAGTCTTGCGGTTTACTTGAATTTTAGGCCTTTCAAAATAACTGTTTCTCCTGGTAACCACTTGAGCCTGGTCATCACCAGGGTATCTGATCACTTTGTTCCCTGGTCAGATCCTTCCAAGCCAGGTTGGCATGGCACAGATAGACAAACTGTGGTTATAAGTTTAAAATGGATTGGAATTGTGGCTTTTGAAAACTTGTTAGCCTAACAATTTTTCACAGTTTATTTTTGTTATTCACTTCTTTTACATAAACCATAATGCACCTTGTTTCCCCCCCCACCCCGCCCTCCAGACTTTGCATAACCATTATTTCCAATTTCTCCGGGGTATAACAGTCACCCCAAGAGAAATCCAATACAATGGTCAGGCAAAATGTTTGAGGGTGTATTATGGTCTATGTGAAATGGTTAATTTGTAACATTTGATGAAATGCTTGGAAGACACTTTTGTTTGACACTGAACTGCGATTCTGTTATTTACAAGTGGCTTCTTTACTAACGTCAAGTTTGACATAGCGAATAAGGACGTGTTGTCGGCAATTTTGAAAATTTGAACTAGACAGCCGTGATACGGCCCCTTTGAAATGACCAGGTATTCTGTAGGTATAGCTGCAAGTTAATATAATTGTACAGTCATTCCACTGTAAAGCATAATCAATACTCTTGTATTAATGCTATTGTTATTTAGAACTCCAATCTTGTGTTGCAAGCTGATCGCTCACTTATTGAGCGCCGTGGTCGTGATGAAGCAACAGGAGAGGTTATGTCACTGGTGGGACACATTGGAGGAATCAAAATGGGTGACAAGTATCAGAGAACTAAGCCTCCTGTTTCAGAAGAGAATAAAGCCAAGTTAGTAGTTGCTATGGTGTACACTGTAGTCAGCAATGTTGAATTGAACATTACTGGTTTTACTGTTTGGTAACTGCAACATTATTATAAGTTTGTTATACCAATACTCAGGGTATTGAAAATAGAGATACATAAAGTCTGGAAAAATAGTAAAAAGTCTGGAGTTTTTTTTTTCAATGCTACAACAAGTACTTAATAAGTGAGTTTTTTTCACCATGGTCAAATCCCATTCAATCTTGCCATATAGAAGACATTTAATCACAGAATGAGAAGTCTCTTAATTCTCTTATGTATTCATTGCACTGTGGTTACCGTATGTTTGAAGTGCAGCATGAAAAAGGCTTGGTTCCTGTGTTTTTCAAGATCTCTATTGCTCACCTATTTGTTAACCTTGAGTCTGGAAAAATAAAGTATTGTTTTTGGTAAAAGTCTGGAAAAAGTCTTGACTTTTGGATCCAAAAATCTCTATGAACCCTGAATACAGCTCCTTGCCACCACCCCCACCTCTGCTACAGCAGTAAAACTGGCCCTTATGTTTGAACTTCATCCTTACTACATGTAGGATACCAATAGGTGTTGTTATTTCAATAGTTGTTTAGGTTGGGGGCTGGAGATAAATTTTGCTTGGCTGTTAGGAATCATTAGCTCAGCAACTTTGTTAAAAACAGGAGTTGTTGACAACACAAGAATATATTAGACAAGAACATTCATAATGTTCCAGGGGTTTCTTCACAATAATTCTCTTCCTAATATCAGTTTTGCTGTGAAGTTATTTGTTATTTGTTTTTTTTAGACGACAAAAGTTGGCTGAGCGAGAAGAGTTTACCAAGGGTAAAACAAGTGGCAGCCTTTTGTCAGAAGATGCATCAGATTTAGCAGGAGTGCGATACCGACCAAAAACCAGAGAAACAAAGTCCACCTATGAAGTTCTACTTAGTTTTATCCAGGCTGCCATTGGAGATCAGGTATCTTCACTTTGTGTTGTTGGCATATTGCATTCATGTTTTCAAAGTCTTGTCACACTGTATATGAAATCCTTTAGAGTGTTTCAACCAATGACTTTCCCAATTTTGCCTCATTTCCTTGAATTCCAGTGTAAACAAACTAAACAGATACATATATTTATGGATAAACCTATGTTTTTGATTTTTTTGTTTTGCCCAGCCACGTGATATTTTATGTGGGGCCGCTGATGAAGTTCTAGCAGCGTTGAAAGATGACAAGATGAAGGTAATGTGTAGGCACAAGTCTTTTGAAGAAAAATGACTGAATTTTTTTTACCCGATTATGTGTTTTTAGTTTTGTTATTCCTTTTTAAAGACACTTGAATGCCTTTACTTTGCTGCTGTAAATGCAATGTTTGCAAATTATTTGTGAAAGGGGCCATGTGTTTGGTGTTCTCTTTACTCTCAATAACGACTAAGCTCAGAAATCTTGAGCAACAATTTTTTTGGCTTAAAAAGTGTACTAATGCATTATCTTTTATTAAGGTTTTAAGACACCAACCTTGCAGGGAATTCAGTTGGTCATAATAAGATTGAACAAACTCTGTTTTAACTGTTGTGTTTTATTCATTTTGAAACCAACATTCATGAGTTTGACTATTATTATTATTATTATTATTATTATTATTATTATTATTATAATGTTATTATTATTATAATGTTATTATTATCAAAGTGGAAATGATCCTCGCAGTTGAATAAATAATTGAAAAAAAAAAGTAGCTGAAAAAGAACCCAAACAAATTCAGGCTTGACTGGGAATTACCGGTAAACCCTGGCCTTTATGATGACCGGATGCAACGCTCTATCCATTAAGCTAATCAAGCCAACTGGAAAGGAGGCCATTATGAGTTTTTCAACTGCTTAGGTTGTTTATCCAACTGCGAGGATCATTTCCACTTTCATATCTTTATCAGCAGTTCAAAATATGAGTCATTCCATATATTTCCGTTCAATATAATTATTACTGTTACTATATTGTATGCTTGGACACTTTGATTTTTTGTCATGATTTGGATATGTAAGTGTTTGCGACTTAATCTGGGTTAACCAATGCTCCTAGGACAAAGAACGTCAAAAGGAGATAGTGTCTTTGCTTGGTGGGATGCCAGATGAAAGATATGCTCTGCTGGTGAATTTGGGAAAGAAGATTACGGACTACTCTGTTGACAGAAGCTTACTTAATGATGGTCAGTGTTGATGAATTTGTTTTTTATCCTTAGCTGGCATTCATATTACAGATTTGATCATTGAAATCTAGTCAACTTGATGCCCACTACTTTGTGTAACTTTGATCATCATATCAACCACCACATCCCAGTCAAAATCTTCTACAGTGCAGAATAATTGGAGTAGCAGGTGGGAGAGGCAAAGTTGTGTGTTTGAAAGTGACAAAATTGCTGGTTGTCAGCTCTTTTTCCTGTCTTACCCCTTGCACTATTATTAACTGCAATGTAAAATGAAATGTGCTAAAGTAAGTATTCAGTTCTTTCCTTGTGGCTGTATTTCCGAAAATGTTTTTTACTATAAACTGAAAAAAAATTTTCTGTCTGAGTGAAAGGAAAACAGCATCAAAATTTAACATCTTACTTGAAGCGCAGCATGTGTTGTAGAGATGAGCATATTGCTGGTAAGGTTTACAAATGTAGTAAAGCCTGCTGATCATATGATTAAAACTAATCCTTGCTTTACCTGATTCTGAAAGTCATGTGGATTATTTAGGTTATGATTATGATCAGCAAACTGTGACAATGTTTGTGATCTCTCCTGTGATTCAAAGTTGTAGTTCTCAGTAATGTTTTTCACTTGACTATATACATTAGATGAAGTAATTGACGAGACATATGGAGTTGCTGTACAATTTGATGAAGAGGAGGAAGAGGTAATTTCAAAGAAAATCTTTCTTATGTCAAAGTAATACGGCAGGGTTTTATGGGTCATGGAAAACCTGGAAAGTCTTGGAATTTAATTGTCAGTCATGGAAAATCATGTAAAATTGACGGTTACCTTGTGAATTTTGTGATTTTTCCAGCAGTCCACAAAATACATGTAAGTTCCAGCAAAAAAAAGAATTACCGCAAACATATTTTCTGCAAAAATTTACTACAGTGTAAAAATTTTCTGACTTAAATTCACTTCCGATTGATCATCAAATTAATAACTCACCGCAGAGGTTATTGTAATTGACGGACAAAGGAAAGTAATCTGTTTTACTTGTTTAACACAGGGTATGCACACCCCAGTATTGTTTGAAAATAATATTTGTATTTCCATTGCATGCAGTCAATAAAAGTGAAAATATTATCAGTGATTTTTCCTGGACTTTCTGAAAATTGCAAAAATTAATTCCCAGTGAGAAAAACCAGTCTGTCCTAATCGCAAAAAAATTAGTTTCTGCAAAACACAAATAATCACCAATTCCCAATAATTAACTTGTGCAGAAAATTTGTGCCACACGGTATAGAGACAAGTAATTAAATAGTGCGAATGAAACCCGTTTTGGTGGACACCAGAGTTTGTCTGTCAAACTGAGTTATAACTGTAGGTAAAAATATCACAAAAAACAAGAACAGTTTTGAAAACTTTTGAAATGGGCAGCTGAACCTTAGGTTATGGAAAAGTTTAAAAGGTCATAGAAAAAGTCAGAGAAAGTCATGGAATTTGTAGTTTTCTTTTGAATGATCGTGTGTTGTGAACTCTTGAGGCTAGAATAGCTGATACAACATTGTCAGTACTATGTTCTACAAGGATATTTAAAAATGGATTCCTCTATGCTTTATTCTTGCAGGAAGATAAAGACTTTGATGAAGTCATGGATGAAGAATCGGGTGATGAGGCAGAGGGTGTGGAAGCTGATACGACAATGACTCTTCAGGGAGGGGTAAGCAAATACTGATAGACAGAATGAAAACAAATAGATAATCTTTGTTGATTTAACAATCCAACCCTCTTTATATTTTCTAAATAATGATATAGCTCAACTTCTTGGAATCAACATATGTCATAATTTTGTTTTCATTCTCCTATTGTCTTGTTCTGTAAGTAAATCTTTTAAGTAATTTAAGTTGCTTCTTCTTCTTTTTTCCTGTATCTTAGTTTAGTTTATGGACCCCATTTAAGCCCCAGGCTTCCAGTTCAGGCTTCCCTGTCACCGTCTTTTGGGTTATTTTGTCTAAATTCTACAATCTGTGACAAAAACAAATAAATCAAATCAAGTCAAACCTACCGTAACCTTCTGAGACTTTTCGCATAACAATGGTAAATGTGCTTGTTGGCCATAGTACATGTACTTGAATTTGTGCATGGCAGTAGATCTAGATATATTTTAAGAATTAGAATTTCTCAGAAATGTTTGTCACATTTGTCTTGTAGCTGGAAGAGGAAAGATCTCAAAGGTCAGGAGACAACCTTCACCCTCGAGACATTGATGCCTTTTGGTTGCAACGAGAGCTGAACAAATATTACGCAGATGCAGAGGCTTCAAGATCTAAAGCTGAAGAAGTCTTGGAAATTCTTAAGAGTGCAAAGGATGAGCGAGAACTTGAGAACAAAATGATGTTACTTCTAGGACATGACAAGTTCTCATTTATCAGGCTGCTACGCAAAAATAAGAACATGGTGCTGTACTGTACATTGCTTGCGACAGCACAGAGTGCTAAGGATAAGAAGGAGATCGAGGAGAAGATGAGCTCTGATCCTGATTTAGCATCGATACTTCATGCACTGACAGAGACAGAGCAAGAAGACTTGATTCAGGTTGGTTAAATGAATAAAACCAGTAGATATTGTTTTGTCCCATCACAAGCAAGAGTGCCCCCTATACAAAATTCCAAAAAAATAACTAAATGAAAAAATTTCGATAAGATACTGAAAAGCAGTTACATGTACAGTACTACCACATGGGTGAATTGCCATAGAGGTTTTGTTTTAATGAATGGTCATATACATGTATATTGTAATGGTGTTTAAATCCCAGAATTAAAATTTTAGATTTAAATTTAACATTTGTAGATTATTTTATGTTGTATAAAGTGCTCTGGGGGCAGAAGGTTTTGCAGGTATTTTTTCTATTTAAAAATCAACGCTAGGGTTATAGCATTTTGTTACATCTAAAGTATGTTGGCAACTTTTCTATACTGTAGGAGTGCAAATGTCTTCCCTATTACCTGGTTACTATGTGGTACAATAAACAAGTAGACATTGGTTACCATGGGGAATTTTTCAACATCTTACTTTGATCACAAAGAAATGTATTGAACAATGGTCATGTACATGTCAAAAGAACAATGGTTTGACTAATCTTCTTTCATGTACATCTCACAGGAGGAACGAGCACGGAAGGCAGCAAATAGAAAGGCTAGGATTGCTGCAGATCTGGATGCTGTTGAATCTGATCAGGTACAGGTTCTATAACAAAATCACTTGATATTTTAACTAAGTTTATCCGATCAAGTAGAGTGTTTTCACATGACATCTCAGCAGCCATATTGTTGTTCCAAAACAATGAAGTGGCGGCCATATTAGTGTACCAAACCAATCCTTTGGAAGTATTGAATTCCAATAAATTTGCGTAGATGCTGGCCACATTATTGAAAACTCTCGATTGGCTTTTCCACACTTTCTTACATTTCTTTGGGAAGAAACAGCCCATAATGGTGTAACATGTGTAAAGCAAAGACCTAAAATGCTTTGTTTACTCAACTTAAGATTGTTTTTAGATACTTATGATTTGTCGAATACACCTTGTCATGATTTCTTTTTAAAAGATGGTTTATTTGTTTTGTTCCCTTGTAGACTCGAGGCAGTCGAAAAATACTGGATCTTGAAGATCTGACCTTTAAAGACGGCAGCCATCTTATGGCCAACAAGAGGTGCCAACTTCCAGATGGTTCATTCAGGAAACAAAGGAAAGGTTATGAAGAAGTTCATGTCCCTGCTCTGAAACCTAAACCTTATGAAGCTGGAGAGGTGAGGTAGTCTGCTTCATTAAAATTAATGAAAATTAAATTCTTTTTGTAGTATCTTTGTATTGAGAACTACAAAAATAAAGTTGCATTCTAATTATTGCTTTAGTACCCCCAGAGAAATATTACTCCATGTTTTTTGTTTCCTTTTTAATTTTAAACTCAGTTTAAATTAAAGGTGCAAGGGAATCATCTTGAACATGTAGGTGTGATTTTGTCCATGAGAAACTTAGAAAGGCCATATTTGTTTTTCAGTAAAGCTATTTTGAAAGTGTAAAGAAGGGCTCAAAAAAAAAATGGATTCAAGTGTTGTTTCCTTTAGACAAGCATCTCTCAGATTTTTCTTGCCTGGGGCCACTTCTTGCTTGTCTTAGTCAATGATTTTGTTGGAGGATGACTTGCCAGGGGCAAGTTAAGCTTTACAGATTTCTTGCCAGCAAGAAATCTATTTGGTCTGGACTACTGGACAGGATTTTTGTTGAGCCCTGTGGAGAGAGAAAGGAAGTAGTAGCTAACTTGCTCTTGTATTCTTTGTTTTATTTGCAGGAACGAGTTCCAATTACAAGTTTGCCCAAATACGCTCAGCCAGCCTTTGAAGGTTATGACACCTTAAACAGGATCCAGAGCCGACTGTGCAACACTGCTCTTAACACTGATGAGAATCTGTTACTTTGTGCTCCAACTGGAGCTGGCAAAACAAATGTAGCTTTGTTAACAATCTTGAGAGAAATTGGCAAACATATTAACCTTGATGGTACAATCAATCTGGAGGAATTCAAAGCTATCTATGTGGCACCTATGAAGTCTCTTGTGCAGGAAATGGTTGCAAATTTCACTAAGGTAAGTTAAACTTTCATGGAAGAATTGGTTTAGGATTAGGGGTAGGGTTTGTTATTCCAGAAAATATCCATACCATACCAGGGACAGCTTCCATATTTAAACCTGTCTCGCCTTTGGAATTTCCAAAATGTGTTTTCCCCCATACCCCGGAATTCCAAAATCATTAACCCCCATCTGCTTTAGGATTTTCCATTTTTTCTGTCAAACCCTTTGGCAAATATGCCCAATTTGGCTTATTTTATGCCAAATTATTTCGAATGACTGTACTTCCATTCAGTGAAACTGGTTATAGAGGGAACAAAACACTAAACAAGACAAGCATAGATAGATCGGGCATGTGTTAGTGTTGATTTGCAGAAGAAAACCAACAAAACGCGTACGTGGGTTGTAAAAGCCAAGGTCTTAACATCTATTATCCATGAAATATCGATTTGATATTGTCCATTCACTGCAAAACATGATCTTTAGAAGAAACCAAGCGAAAAAAGCAAAGGTATAACTTATGCAAGTAAAGTTAGTACAATATGTGTCCCCATACATCAAGTACCTACCCATTAGACTGACAATGCCTTTTTTGAAGCTCATAGGATTGGGAGTAATTGCTGACCTGAAAGCTCAAATTCATGAAGAGGGAATTGAAAATACACTCAGTCACAAAGTCTCCTGCATGCACACACGTTTTTGACAAGATATCATTTTAATGTTCTGTACCAGTTTGGGGGCAATGTAAAGTTAACATACATCATAATGACTTCTAAGAACAGTGATAATCTCCCTGTTATAGAGGCTCAGTACTTATGGCTTGACAGTATCAGAGTTGACTGGAGACCACAACTTAAACAAAGAACAGATCAACAGCACACAGGTTATCGTCTGTACACCAGAAAAATGGGATATCATCACTCGCAAGGGAGGGGAGAGAACTTTCACACAGCTTGTCAGACTGATCATCATAGATGAAATACATCTTCTACATGATGACAGAGGACCAGTGTTGGAATCATTAGTTGCACGTACCATTAGACAGATTGAAACGACTCAAGAATTGGTCAGACTTGTTGGTTTGAGTGCCACTCTACCAAATTATGAGGATGTAGCTACCTTCATGCGTGTGAATCCTGCCAAGGGTTTGTTTTTCTTTGATAACAGCTTCAGACCGGTTCCACTGGAGCAGCAGTATATTGGGGTCACAGAGAAGAAACCAATCAAGAGATTACAGGTTTGTTAAGTGTAATGTACATAATCTAATAATACTGGATGTTCTGGATGTTCTGTGCGGGAGAAGCAATAATAACCGAAGACAACAAATAAATATTTTTATTAATTTTTTAATTTCTTTGTCCTTAAGGCTCACTATAAAGATTGAAAGGACAGTGTTGATAAGTTTTTTTATGTTCAGTCAATGGTCAGAAATAACCCACTTCTGAGTTGCCCTGACTGTTGTTTTTTATACTAAGGCTTAATTTGCATGAGAATGAAAAGTCTTTTTCATATGAAAGGTGAGCATCAGCACTCGCTTTGAAAAAGAGGCCAAAGTTAATACAAAAATAGCCTATAACATGTTCATTGTAGGTTTTTAGGTTGTTAATGTTAGTCTAGCCTTCAGTTGACCCCTTTTAGGATGTCTTTAAATAACAGTTGACTCTCTGTAACTCAATCCCTTGCTAACTCAAATGTGGCGTTAACTTGAACCAAAATTGATTTCCACTGGATTTCCTTAGTACATTTACTGTAATTTTACCCTTGGTAACTTGAATCCTCCATAACTCGAACCTTCCACTAATGTTGTTTTCCCCTCAGATCATTTCTATATAATTTTACCCTTGAGAACTTGAACCATGTTATACTGTAAATGCATAAAAAAAACAGTGCATAGCGGTCTGAAACATCCAGTGTCAGTCTTTTTTGTTTTTTGTCCAGCCCTGTATATTGATCGAGCTTTGTTGCCTAATTGTTTTTCCTTGATATCAATATATCTCTTGCTTCCCTTGAAGTTGACTGTGCTTGTTACTTGTACCCCTGTCCCATCCCATTTCCTTATTTTCGGTTATTTGCTTTGAACTCCCAATAACTCAACCTCCTTATAGCTATAATTTTTTTTGATTTTCCCAAAAGGTTTGAGTTATTGGGAGTTGACTATATGTAAAAAATGAAATGTTGATCACATGAGTTTGTTATACCCAAAGTTTCAAATCCCTGGTTGCTTAATAGTGGTATTCAGGGACGAGTCTTTGGAACAAAGAACGTTCAGATGGCTCACTGTTGGCAGCTTAAGATTCCCACTTGGCTGTCCGCTGCTGTTTGAACACAACTCATCTTGCTCAAAAGTCATTTAAAAATACACGAACCTTCCTTTTTTTGCAGAAGAAGAGAGGTTTTGTAATAATGATGTCACTGTAATTTTTCTTGAAGGTAATGAATGACATTGTGTATGAAAAAGTCATTGAACATGCTGGAAAGAACCAAGTGCTGATATTTGTACACTCAAGGAAAGAGACTAGCAAGACGGCTCGAGCCATCAGAGATCTGTGCCTTGAAAGAGACACATTAGGACATTTCTTAAGGGAAGACTCAGCTAGCACTGAAGTCCTTAGGTATGTACTCTACAAGACTTTTGAGCCTGAATTATTGATAAAGGTTGCTTAAAAAATAAAAGATACTGAATGCTATGTGAGTAAGACTATACCTAAGATGACACCTTTGTTTTGAAGTGTTCTAGTAGACTCTTCTTTTGGCTGCTAAGCAGGCGACCACGACTTGTCTCCATTTTTAAGTGCCATTTGTAACTCTGTACTCTTGTTATTGTTGATTTTTTGTCAACCTTATAAAAATTTATTGAGGCCTTTATTTGCAAGGGATAGTTTTGGACACGCAGAAAGGCAGTTTTATTTTGCTATGTTTTTACTTTGTTTTTACCTTGGTGAGAAACAAAGTTATAGGCTAAGACTATACCTAAGATATAACCTTTGTTTTGAAGTGTTCTAGTAGGCGCCACAATCACTGCCACCTTTCAGCTGCTAACCAGGCCGTGATCACGACTTGTCTCCACTTTCAAGTGCCAGTAATTTTGTACTTTTGCTATTGTTGATTTTTGTCAACTTTACAAAAATTTTTTTCTTCAATTTGTATTCCCCCTCCCTGCTGTTACTGTTTCTTCTCATTCACTGAAATGTACATGTTTATCTTTATCATAATAATAAGTAATTTTATTGCAATCACCATTACTTAGAACTGAAGCTGAACAAGCTGTTAACTTGGAACTGAAAGACTTGCTTCCTTATGGATTTGCCATCCATCATGCTGGCATGACCAGAGTGGACAGAACACTAGTAGAAGATCTCTTTGCTGACAGGCACATCCAGGTTTTAGTTTCCACAGCAACATTGGCTTGGGGAGTAAACTTGCCAGCACACACTGTGATTATCAAGGGAACACAGGTACAGTTATCCACATCATAGATCAGATGTAGTGTGTATAGTATGTCCATTCAACTTATGTAGACAGAGACAAATTGTACTCTAAATATGTGTAGGTTTATCACATTCATTGAGTTGCTGTTGCTCTGGGGGGAGATGTTACGTGGTATTTTTCCACAAAGCATCTGTCGAAAGGCACATTTGAACTCTTAAAAAACGGGATGCTGTGCTTGTCATTGAAGTCCCTGTAAAATACTGGAATTTAATGTTAGATTTCAAGAGTACTTGAAACACCCTTAAAGAGAAGAATTTTTGAAACAGTTGGGAAATAATAATTATAGTATTATATAAAGTCATTCAAAGGTTGAGGGCAACTTTTAAAATTGGGGATAGATCATATTGTTAAGAAAAAGTGAATAAGCACAGCTTAGATGAACACTGTTTGAAAAATAAAATGTTAGTGCTTGAATATGCCTTGATATACTCATGAATTTTATAACCAAGAACTACATGTGCATTGTAGCACAAACCCAAGGACACTCACACGTGCACTATGAACAGTTTGTTATTCACTTAACCTTTTTTTGTTTGTTACATAGTCTTAAAGCCTCCAACATTCAAAGTACCATGATATTTTTAGTACTATAATGCTCTTACTGGTCAGGTTAAAAAAATATACATGTACATTATATGACTTGCATAATAAGTTTTTTAAATTTTACATAACAATTTTAACTATCATTACTATCATCAATAAAAATTATAAATTATTCGCTTTGCAGATTTACAATCCTGAGAAGGGTCGCTGGGTAGAGCTGGGTGCACTGGATGTGATGCAGATGCTCGGGCGTGCTGGGCGACCTCAGTATGACACAAAGGGAGAAGGCATCTTGATTACAAGTCACAGTGAACTGCAATACTACCTCTCGCTCATGAATCAACAGGTAACGTCATAGGGGAACTTCTAATTGCAGAAGAAATTGTAGTAGTAGAAGGCTGTAGTTAACTTTAGCAATAGCAGTAACAGTACAGCTATAGCATGTATATTACACTGTACCTGTAGCAGCAGTGGTAGTGGTAACAGTAGTGATATAGAGGCCAGTAGGGGCAACAGTGAGAACAGTACTTCTATTGGTAACCTTGATAATGTTCTTATTCTGTATTATTTTTTGCGCTTCAAGAATGCAGGAATCATAAATTATAGCCTGAAAAACAAATCACCTAGTGCACTATGAAAAGTGCTTAGCACGTGATGTTATTGGTGTTCTGTGAGAGGATTGCAACAACAGTAATATTGTACACTTACAAAAAAATAGAAACTAAGTGAAACAGGTGACAGTAGCTTGAGCAATACCAACTGAATTAATTGAGAGTAAATACAACTCATTTACAATAATTACTCAAGTTTGCCTCTCAATTTATAATGGCCTAAAAATGTATTACAAGTTTAAAGGCTAGATGTAAGTAACCTTGTGTTGTTTGTTTTTGATTCCTTTAGTTACCCATTGAAAGTCAGTTTATTAGCAAGCTAGCTGACAACCTCAATGCTGAAATTGTGCTTGGAACAGTGCAGAATGCCAAGGAAGCTGTGCATTGGCTAGGTATTTTTTCTACTGACTCTTTCTGATTCCTCTTGGAAGCATCTTTAATCTATTGGACGTAGTATGGTGGTCTCTTGCTGACAGTCTTTGTGCATTATTTTGTATTTTGTTCTTAGGTTACACATACCTTTATATTAGAATGTTGAGAAATCCATCCCTGTATGGTATATCTCATGATGAGATTGAAAAGGATCCCCTACTTGAACAGGTAAACAAGTGTTTTTTCACTTCTATCATAGCAAAAAAATATATGCTTAAAAATTCACATGTGAAAAGCGGCATGTACGTCCCCAACCTCCAGAGTGCATTTCATCGACACTGGAGAGTTTGTATTTGTGGCCGCATAGCTTAGTCATTGAAAGACAAAATTCATATGTAATGATTTTTTTTTAGAAATATGTTGTACCAGACTTAACAGAGTGATTTAACTTGTTAAGGGGTTGCTATGTGTCTAAATTGCGTATATAACTAGATTGTTGCAACAATTATGTGTTAACATTTTAAAGTAAAGATCTTGTTATTGTTGTGTAATGTTGAGTCATTCTTTTATAGCGGAGAGCAGATTTGATCCACTCAGCTGCTACACAGCTTGACAAAAACAACCTTGTGAAGTATGACAAAAAGTCAGGAAACTTCCAGGTTAGCACAAGCATTTGCCTGTTTGACTTTTTCGACTTTTAGTTTTGAAAAAATTTAATTAAGTGCTAATACCAGTAATAATTTACAAAGATATCATTTTTTTAAGGTGACAGAGTTGGGACGCATTGCCAGTCATTATTACTGCACTCAAGAAACCATCGCTACTTACAACAGTTTGCTCAAACCAACTCTCAGTGAGATTGAACTGTTTAGAGTTTTTTCACTATCCTCTGAGTTCAAGTACATCACAGTCAGAGAAGAAGAGAAACTGGAGCTTAACAAGTTGCTGGAGCGGGTTCCGATTCCTGTGAAAGAGAGCATTGAAGAGCCCAGTGCAAAGGTAGACTTTGTAATAAGACAATCTAGTGGCAGATTGTTGCATCTGCAGTATCAATATGTTCTTCATTTTACCTGCATAATAGCAATGAAACCCAAAGTGTCAAATTCCTGCATGTTTTAGCATAATAGCATTCAGGGCCCAAATCTTTGGAACAGTGACTTCAGATGGCTAATTTTGGGCAGTTGAAATACTGTGACTGCATTAAAGCTGTTTGAAAATAAATGTAGTTTGAGTGTATTCAGGCTTGTGGCTTTGTTGACAGTGGTTTTGCAGAGTAAAAGCTGGAAGTTCTTTCATACATATATACTTTTTTCTTTTCAAAGGTAAACGTTCTTCTTCAGGCATACATATCTCATTTGAAGCTTGAGGGGTTTGCTTTGATGTGTGATATGGTTTATGTTACTCAGGTAATTATTGTTCAAATTAAACAGTACTTTATTTCTGTAAGTCGTTGAACATTTCTCACTTAACTTGTAGGCAAGGAGAAAAAAATGACTGTTTTAATTTTGCTTTTTTGTGCAGTCATCAGGCCGGCTGATGAGAGCAATCTTTGAGATTGTGTTGAACCGTGGATGGGCTCAACTGGCAGACAAGAGCTTGAACTTGTGCAAGATGATTGATAAGCGAATGTAAGTCAACTGTGTAAATTATGCAGAGTACAATTCCTGCTAATGGGTTTTATGATTTGTTGGGTCTTTTCACAAAAAGTTAGAATTCTCTGGTAGCTCTTGTATGGAGCTTAACCTTGAACCTTTCATAGCAGTAATATTTTGCAATGTAACGTTGTTATCTTGATGATTCCACTGACCAACATGCTTTCTGCTCTCTTCTGCATACATTTCCAACAGTGCAAAGTGACTGTACTGCACTGCACTGCACTGCGCTCATCTAAGGAATGGTTTCCAACTTCCTTTAAATGACTCGTCTGTTCAGTCTATTTACACTAATACAAAACATTCTTGTGATCATCCAGGGTTAAGGTGAGGTATGTTAGACAAGGATTATATGGCGGCAAGGTGGGGTCAATCCTGTGTTCTAATTGGCCACCTGTTCAGACTAGATGGTCTGATCTTGCCTTCTCGGGATTACTCACCTTGTTTGACCAATATCCAGCTACCTTGACCCCACAATTGATCAATAGGATAAACATAAAAGAAACAATTCTGATTTGTCTTGAATCTGATCAAACCCCAGGTGGCTGTCCATGAGTCCACTGCGCCAATTCAAGAAAATCCCCATGGAGGTAATCAAGAGAATTGAGAAGAAGGAATTCCCATGGGAACGTTACTATGACTTGGGAGCCACCGAGATCGGTGAACTGGTGCATATGCCCAAAATGGGCAAAACACTGTACAAGTTTGTCCATCAGCTGCCCAAAATGGAGTTAGCCACCCACATCCAACCCATAACAAGGTATGTTATACTAGGTCAGATGCTTAAGGTTATGTTCACACTGTACTGAATAGCTTTTGCATCGCCATGAAAAGCAGACTGGACAGGGCTTCTGTTCAGACACAGGAGTGGTTGTGGCAGCACGATTTCTGTGATGGAACAAAGGTGCCCTGTGCCAGTCTCAAAAGTGGAGCATCACATATTGCATAGATTTTGTGTGGTACTTTGGTGCAGTGTGAACACCTATTCAGCCCGTCACAGAGGTAAATAAGTAGGAGTGAGAACTGGAACCCACAGAGATGGAAGTAAATATTCTGGGGTGAGAACTAGAATTTAGCGCCCCAAACCCTCTTGGCTAACTGTGCCGGTACGATGTTCGATGTTTGTGAATGACGAAAGCTATCCATTATAGTGTGAATATAGCCTTGGTGTTTTTTCAAGTTGCTTTCTTTGTTTTGTTTTCTGTCCTTTCCTTTTCAGAATGGTCAGTGTGTTTTTTTGCTACATCTTATGTGTATGATAAGGCTTTCTTAGAAGACTTTGAGATTGGCAATTTCATGTTGGTCTCTTCATAACATTTTAAAACGTCCAAGTTACTAAGATAATTTCATCATCATGTCTCTTCACACCATAATGCTGTCGCCCACAAAGTTTGGAACTCTAACTGGTAACTTGATGTGGGACACATTATTTTTTCCCGTCCCTTTTCTTTCTTTATACTTCACTTTGTGTTGCTTTATTCTAATACAACCACTCCAACATGTTTTCCTTGTCAGATCGACTCTAAGTGTGGAACTTGTGATCACCCCAGATTTTCAGTGGGACGAAAAAGTTCATGGAAACTCAGAGGCAATGTGGATATTTGTGGAAGATGTTGATAGTGAGATCATCTTACATCATGAGTACTTCCTGCTAAAGAGCAAATTTGCCTCGGATGAACACACGCTGAAGTTTTTTGTTCCTGTGTTTGAGCCTCTTCCACCGCAGTATTTCATCAGGATTGTGTCTGACAAATGGCTTGGTGAGAGTTTATTATTATTATTTTTTAATATGCCTCAAAAATCTTAACCGTTTAGCCCTTTAAGTCCTGTTACTTGAGTTATCACTAATGCTACCATGTATGTTCTCCCTAAATTTATCGGTGATGATATGAAGACGACATGACGTTGCACTTGTTGTTTTAAGCGGTAGTACGCATCACTTAACTGTCGTACAGTAGCGGCTGAGAATTAGAATAGTTAGTTTTGTGCGACAGCTCACCAGTGCAAATAGCAAGTAAGAACTTTTGTCTCAGATGAAGTGGTGACATGACATGACATGACAAGTAGTGCGCTGATAGTTGTCTGGTTTGAACATTTCAAGTATTTACAATGTTGTCATTATGAAAGTTTTATATTTTTTATATTTTTGTATTTAGGGTCTGAAACGCAGCTACCAGTATCATTTCGACATTTGATTCTGCCGGAAAAGAATCCTCCACCAACTGAACTGCTTGATCTTCAACCTTTGCCAGTTTCTGCTCTCAGAAATCCTGCATTTGAGAATTTATACAAAGACAAGTTTCCATACTTTAATCCTATACAGACCCAAGGTAAGAAGAACTGACATGACTGTTGTTTTGAAATATATGAAATAATTCATTTTTGAACTGCGGTTGTAGATGATCGTTCTTCACTTTCATGACTGTTGTTTATTAGACGCGCAACGTGAGCATCCTAAAAACCTGGTTTTCAATTATGGAGCGACACAAATACAAGTGCAAGCACAAGAGTTCTTTATGTCCCCTTAATAACAGTCTAGACTAAAGCACAAGGATCAAAATTTTCCTTTTGTACACTCACTCTTGTGCTTGAGTTGTGCTTGAATCGTACTTGCTTTGATGGTGAAAACCATGCATTAGGGTAATGGTACAGAGCAGCTCCCGGTTGTTCAAAAGTTGGATAGCGCTACCCACTGAATAAATCACTATCCAGCGGGTAAGTAGAGATTTATTCGGTGGATAGTGCTATGCACCTTTTGGACAACTCAGTGGGGCCTGCCTTCAGAGTGTTCGTATGAATTTTTTTAACGCTTTATTAACTTTTATACACACTGTGATTTAATAGGTTCATTTATTGTCATAATGCATACAACTAATGTTGTCGGTCGTTTTGGCCTTCCTTCAGTGACTAGGGTTTCCAATAAGTTTTTCGGCGTCCAGGATTTGCCTTGTTTTGAAGGCCGGGATTTGGGATTTCAAAGCAAAATAGGGTTGGGATTCGGGATGAAAGTACGCACAGGATGCGGGATGCCGAAAATTACCATCGGGATGACGGGATTGAGCGAAGATTAGGGTCGGGATGACGGGATTGAGCGAAGATTAGGGTCGGGATGACGGGATTGAGCGAAGATTAGGGTCGGGATGACGGGATTGAGCGAACATTAGGGTCGGAATGACGGGATTGAGCGAACATTAGGGTCGGGTTGACGGGATTGAGCGAACATCTGTGTCGGGATGACGGGATTGAGCGAACATTTGGGTCGGGATGAGAGGATTAAAGAACCCTATTGGGGAACTACAATGGTGTTTGTTGGATTAAACTAGAATAACTTTATTACTACAGTGTTACATGGTCTGCCTTTGTTTTTGTCTTGTCAGTTTTTAACACTCTTTACAACTCTGATGAGAATGTTCTGATTGGTGCACCGACCGGTAGTGGTAAGACCATCTGTGCAGAGTTTGCGGTGCTACGACTCCTTCAGCAGATAACTGACTGTAGATGTGTGTATGTCACTCCAATGCAGTCGCTGGCTGATCAGGCAAGTCGTGTTTTAAAACACATACACTAGGTGTCTGTGGTGTGCAGTAGAGTACAGGAGAGAACTGCTCAGCAGCGTCAATCAGAGCCACGGAAGAATAAAAAAGAGAAAAACACCTAAAACGCGTTATCAACCACTGGAAGTAGCTTCCCTTTAAAATGGTCACATAAGTAGCGTGCGAATGCAGATGTATTTGCGTTCGTCGCTTCTCTCCACCCGAAAAGGTGGAGAGAAATACGTTTGAATTTGCAGGCTACCACATAAGCTGTTTGAGTCCAGATTTTGAAAAATCCTCTCCTGCTTTGCAAGTTTTCGTTTTACCTGGGCTTAATCTACTCCCCCGCGTTTCACTCGACGGACTAAGGCTATCTTCACACCATACCGGACAGCTTTCCTTACCGACACGAAAAGGTATCCGGTATAGTATTAGTAACAACGGCACAGAACTGGAACAAGTCCTTCACACACATCGCGCTGGAGCGGCTGGCCAAGAGGGCGTGGTGACCTTAATCCCACTCCTCACTCCTGAATAGTTTTTTGCTTCGCATTGGATTCCAGTCCTCGCTACTACTTATTCACTTCCGCCACGGTCCGAATAAATCACCGTTCTCATGTGTGAACAGGAACCCCATCCGTTATGGTTATCGTGCCGGCGCTAGATCCATCCGGTATAGTGTAAACATATCCTAATAGAATAGAGGGGCTTCTCATAGTCTGTATGAGTACTAGAAACAACTGTAGCGTTGCAACCTGTGATTAAAAATAATAATCTTTATCCTGACCTCGTTCATGGTGATATTAGGACGGCATGAGGTTGCACTTGAGGGTTTTATGCAATGACGTTCTTTTGTTTCCATAAGAGTTGAATGGTCAATGTGTGCTGTTCTTGGTTTTATCAGGTTTTTGCTGACTGGCAGAGCAAGTTTGGCTATCAATTAGGCAAGAACGTGGTCATGCTGACAGGAGAAACTAGTGCAGATCTTAAACTTTTGGCCAAGGTAAACAACAACAACAACAACAACAACAACATGAACACAAAGTTTATAACTGTGCTGATATTTTTTGTTAGACCTAATTGTAATTGCAAGATTTCCCTTGTTACTGCTAAAGGCTAACGCAAGCGATATTCATGTGATTTTTACTACAATTTTGGGGCGATGTTAAAGCGAGGTAACCATTGGGTGCATGATCTCATTATCTATGGAAGCAATGGTGATTTTGCACGAGTTAAATTTCGCAGCAATAATTCCTGAATAAACGGTCGTAACAACGAGATGTTTTATGTAGACATTCAACAATGGACTCAGTTTCCTACTCGAAGTATCGTTAACACGGGAAAATATAAGTTAGAAATGTTTGCCACTGTTGACTGGAAGCCAGGGGATTTGAAGCATGTTGGCAATAAACTGCTTCTGTTTCTAATCACTTAATACTCTCTACCAGTAAATGCAATTTTTTTTGTTTTTTAAGAGAACGTTCCCGCACTTCTGCGGATAGAAGCATCGAGTCGGGGCTTCTTGTGACAAAATACAGTCGTTTGTTCACTGAAATTGTCCATTCAAGCCTTGACCTGTTTTTAGTGTATTTTCTCACGAAGCGGAATGCGAGATAGATTTTTAGGATTTGTCCACCCGATGTTTTCTTGTAGGGTAATGTGATTGTCAGCACTCCAGAACAATGGGACGTGCTGTCAAGACGGTGGAAACAGCGGAAGAACGTGCAAAATGTGCACTTATTCATCCTTGATGAAGCTCATATGATTGGTGGAGAATCAGGGGTAAGCTGAAAAGAACCTTTTTGCTATTGGCTATTTTCAGGTTAAGCGGTAGACTGGGTAGATGTTTTGTCGAATTGCTTTATGGGACTGTTGTTGTTTTTTTTTTGGTCAAAAATTGTCCGCCAAAACAGCCTTAAGGATGCAGTTTGACACACCTCCTACCCTGTCTCAGGCTCAACTTCAGAATGGTTAGTAACTATCTTTGTTTATCGGTGATTGGCAAAACACGAAGGGATTTAGGCTGAACAAATCGGGTTTAGCGCGAAGTCCTAAGACAGAGATGTCACAAACCCTTGTCATTTTCTTGTGAAATAGCCATTTTTTTGTGTCACCCCAGGTGACAATTCGGTTTAATGGATAAATGCAATTTAACTGAGTTAACGACTTGAAGCAAGAGTAGGTGACGTTAGCGTTCTCTGGCATTTACTGGTGTAGCGAGGTTTTCGGGGCTCTGTGAATCTTTGTATTCCGGCAGTTCCGTTAGCTCGGCTCTTAGGCTACGTTTGTTCAGTGGGTCCTTGTTGTTGTTGCATGCGTGCGCCATTGCGCGTGCTTTGCAATTGTACCGTTCGGTTATCGACAGCGGGCTTGTTTTTTATGCATTGTTAGGTTTCCATCCCCATCCTTCCCTTTTTGTTCGTTATAATTTTCCACGCAGTCCAATGGTTTCAGTGTGACAGGTACTGGGGAATGTTTGGCTTCTAGGGCCGGGTGTGTTACTAGGTTGCCAGCTGGGAAGCTCAGTACACCTTGAATTTGGTTTCGCGGTTTCAGACTTCGGGCGTAAGGGTACCTATCCTCCACTTGCCTTGTAGGCGTTATTACTGGATGGCATTTTCAGGTTCCAAATACAAAAATCGAAGTTGAATTTGCTTTTAATTTTGAATTTAAATATTTTCTTTGTCTCGCTTGCATGCTGAACGTTAAATGTTTTGTTCTGTTTGTAACTAGTGTTTAGTTTTTGATCTTTGTTATTATGTTTGACTCCTAGCCTGTAATGGAAGTAATCTGTTCTCGTATGAGATACATCTCATCACAGATTGAACGTAACATTCGGATTGTGGCTCTGAGTTCTTCGCTAGCAAATGCAAAGGTATTAAAACCAGTCATAGTCTTAGTAAGAAACAGATTTGAACACAAGTTCATTTTCTGATGCTTAACTGAGAAGCTAAAGTTTATTAGTTTGATCAGTCAGAGAGTCAGCTAATATCAGTTTTGCTTTTCCTTTGTAGCCCAAACAGTCCGTTTTCCCGTCTTAAAACCTAATTTAGTCATCTTGAAACTCGAAACATACACTTCAAGATTATCATTTCCAAATGTTAACTGTTCAAGGATTAATCTACCAGAGACTGTCGACATACGTTTGAATTGTTTTTAATCATTTCTTATCTGATATTTGCCAGGACGTTTCCCAGTGGTTAGGAGTTGGTGCTACAGGCCTGTTCAACTTTCACCCCAACGTCAGACCAGTGCCCCTTGAACTGCACATTCAGGTATGATCGTAATAAGGCTAGCTTAAGCACGACGACGGCAACTAGAACTGCATTATTGTAGATCATTGAGGCGGCTAATCAGCTTGTTGGGCTCGGAATCCAATCGTCCTGGACATTCGAGTCGCTCTCTGACCACTACCGGGATTTCTTTTTTTTCTGTCAATTCCATCTGGATGGCTTGTCATTAGATGGGACTTTAAATCGTGTGTTGTTTATTTTGTTATGTCTTTTGTTTCATGTTACTTCCTTCCAACCCGTCCATGAAAGGCACAGTTTTACAGTTGTTGTGTACTACTTTTCTCATCTTCGTTGTTAAGCATACATTTTTTTTCCGATTTCAGGCGTATTTAATCGTTTCTTGTTACCTTTTTTATCAGGGCTTCAACATCACTCACACAGCATCTCGTTTAATTGCTATGACAAAGCCTATGTATCAGTCAATTGTAAAGCATTCACCCAAGAAACCTGTCATTGTTTTCGTGCCGTCCAGAAGACAGACCAAACTGACTGCTCTAGACCTACTGACCTTCTCTGGAGCCGAGAATGATGCACAGAGGTAAGCTAGAAAAGATTTAACAAATGCAGGAGATGGAAAACCATCTGAGTGCTTGATGGGATTCCAACCCATGACTTCCCAGGCGTCGGCTCTTACTACTGAGTTGCGGAGAGACTGGTGGTGAACCAGATCGTGTACTGGGTTCTCATGTCACACGTCCTGCATACTGCTGGGATGCAAAAATCCAAACAAACAAACAAACAAACAAGAACAGAAACGACAATTGTGGAATCCATCGCTAAATTAACATGAGACTTTTTAACCCTTTCACTCCAAATTGTGGCTAAAGGTAGAATTCAACAAAATTTGCAAATTTCATTTCTTAGAATGCTGAAAAACAACTAGTACCATGTGAAAGTACTGCCAAAGAAGTTTCATTTAAATGGTCACACCATAGGATTTCGTCTTCAGACTCAAGTCTGCAGACTCAAAAGTTACAACTACCTTACCAGACTCGATCATTCACTGTGAGAGAAAGGGTTAAGAAACAAGTTTGTGCGAGAAGGCAAAGTGCTATTAATTTAAATTTTAGCAGACGCAGGAAACGGCCTGACTTTTGCTATTCTAGGAAAGTGAACAAAGGAGAACATAAAGTGAACTTTAATAACAAAACAGCAAAGACAAAAGCGGAAAGCGGTTTTTGTGTAAAATCCAGCACAATTCCAGAACAGTAATTTAACGATGTTGATTCAAGTCGTAACTGTCGATTTTAAAGAGACTGGTTTAAGTTTATTTCCTTAGAGGGGTTATTTTGCTTTAACAGGTTCCTGCACTGCACAGAGGAAGATCTGCAACCTTTTATCAAACGTTTGAACGACAAGGCAAGTTTTTAGGAACTTGGTTTTTAGTTTACTAAACTACCGTTGGTCCTGCGGTGCCGACTCTGTTACCATGTAGTACAACGTTCCTATAACGAACAGACAACAACAACAACAACAACAACAGCTTGAATGGAAATTCAACATTGTAACTAATTAAGTAATTTTCCCACCCGCAAATAGCCTTGGAACTAGTCGAGACGGGGCTGGGGAGGAAAGACTTATTTACAATACAAGATTCTAGTGAATTGACTAAACAACAGAGAGGACAGGAAAACCAACAAAATATCCGATTTATGAGAGAAAAACGAGAACTTTGCGGTACACATTCACGGACACGCCCGTCGAGCATTGATCGGCAGGCTACGGACATCTTGCCGAAAGATTATTGATAAGCTGAAAGAAATGCGTGACTGCGCGAGTAGGCATTCATGACAAGTTTTAAAGTACTTGTAGTAACTGACAAGTGGGTGTAACATTTTGACGAAAAAAAATCATGCTTTTAACTGATGGTAATGCTCATAAATTTTGCCTTCTAATCTTCAGACTTTGAAAGAGACAGTGGGTTATGGAGTGGCTTATCTTCACGAAGGACTGTCTGATGCTGAAACCAAGATTGTAGAACAACTCTTCAACTCGGGAGCCATACAGGTGGTGATTGTGTCACGCAATCTTGCTTGGGCGATCAACATGAACGCTCACCTTGTGGTCATCATGGACACACAGTTCTACGAAGGGAAGATCCATGCGTAAGTCACGCAACGACTATATATGCGGTAACGGCAGCGTGAAAATGCAGGGGAGAGAAAAGTTATATTGATCGGATAATTTTCTCTCTCTTTAAGACTTAAGAATTAGAAGAATATTTAAAATTCTCCACGCAATATCACGTTTTTGATCGAGGCTTTTTTCAAATAGGTAGCAGTGTGAGCAAACAGAAGAAATCAAAGAAAGAATCTTAACGTGAAACAAACATATACTGTAGGACACCGTCATGTGGAAAACAACACTTGGCTTTGAATCACAGTTGGTTTTGGTTTTTCTTTTGAATGTCTGAGAAATTGGCAGTGTAGCAATGCAGACCAAAGTAACAACGAAACGGCACTCATTTGAAAACCTGGCGCGCCTGGGAGGTTTAGTTATCGGCTCGAGCTCCAAACCTTCCGCATTTTGCCGAATGCATAAATACGGGTTATGAGTGGTTAGAACGAGTTAATTGTGTGATTAAATTATCTCAGTCAGGGCTTGAAAAAAAAGTTCCGTCCGGTAGTCCGGTTGTAACTTTTCGTGCTTACTTTCCCAATGAGCTTATATGCCTTATCGGGTTATTATATAAAAAAAAAAAACGCTTCGAAGACTTCCTTGAGTTGAACTAGTGCTTCTGATACAGTTTTGTTTTCTTCTTTTTCAGTTATGTGGATTATCCCGTGACAGATGTATTACAAATGATTGGCCGAGGAAACAGGCCACTATTGGATGATTCAGGAAAGGCAGTGATTCTCTGTCAAGCATCCAAAAAAGAATACTTCAAGAAATTCCTCTATGAGCCTTTGCCTATCGAGGTTAGTATGTAACACGCCAAGGAAAAGATTTCTACAGCGGTAACTCCGCAAAATACAAAACGTATTTTGTCTCCCAAAGGTTGGGAAAAAGTGAAAAGCCTGTCTCGTCTCACACAGTCGCTCACCCAAGACAGTTTGTTGTCGCGTTTCGTACAATGTTTGCAAAGAATGCTCTGCCATCTAGTAACTAAAGCAGAATCCCTTGAACCGTACGCTGGTATACAGTTTCCTTAAGGTTATAGAGTAGAGATCTAATGCGGACTTTCGCTGTTTCAGTCGCATTTGGATCATTGTCTTCATGATCATTTTAACGCTGAAGTGGTAACAAAGACGATTGAGAACAAGCAAGATGCAGTGGATTATTTAACATGGACCTACCTTTACCGCAGAATGACACAGAACCCAAACTACTACAACTTACAAGGTAATGATTCGGACTGGCACCTGCGTAAACGTGAACGCTTGAATAATAATTACCTCTGGCATGTTGTGTTTGCGTTTGTTTAAAAGCATGATTAAACCGCAGCTTTGTTGTACTAATTGAGCTGAATTGCGCTCAGTGTGCGTAGATTTGGTAGATTTGGCTACAAAGTTGGCTTGGCCGTTTTAGGTATCTGGCAGTCGTTTCTAAGGAGTGGATCATTCTATTCGTGTGGTCAATATAATATTTTTTATCACCCACAGGAGTTACCCATAGACATCTCTCTGATCACATGTCGGACATGGTAGAGAACACACTTAATGATTTGCAGCAGTCTAAGGTATAGTTAACTGTTATTTTTCCAAGTGTATTACTTTTAGTTTACAAAATCCGCAAAACCCCCAGTTGGTGAAAAATAATGCGAACAGTGCCTTTCCTACTGGCCGCTTTGACGTTTTGGGGAAGACTGGACTGGGACTGTTTTGGGGACGTTATCGTTTTTCTTTGGCTATTACGAGGAAGTCGGGAAACTGAGTCAAAATTCGCGTCTTCAAACAGACCCACAGAGCAATTCGATTCAACGCCCACCCAGGCTTACTTGTAACTTCAAAATGGCTCGTGTCGCTCTCTTCTGAGCAAGAATAGTTGATCGGAATATGATGTTAGCGACGGCAAAATTGGTCATCAAACACGGTAATCTCTTTTCTACTTATATCTGCCGAGACAACCAAAAACTAAACAATTTTGTCTCTGTAATGTGTTGTGCGATGCCATTAGTGTATGTTAGCCCTTAAAGGGGTGACTGTTGTGACGAATAAACACGGTTTTGTTCAAATGTTTTGGAACAAAATTAACTGTAAGTAGAGAGGGTTTCCTGACCTGACTGGGCCGACTCATCATTTCTTGCCTGTTTTGGTTCTTGTAGTGTGTATCCATTGAGGATGAAATGGACGTATCTCCATTGAATCTGGGCATGATTGCTGCTTATTACTACATTAATTACACTACTATTGGTAAGAAGCAATTTTTGGTCACCTTTACCGCTTCTTGTAAGTACTGACAATACAAGGCCCAGCGCCTTCCTAGACTTTTTATTGAACGAGATCGCAGTGGTGTCGGATTTTGCTATCGGGCTAGTGAATTCTGTTCTTAACTTGCCCGACGGACAAGTGAAGTTTTTTTTTTTGAAGAATTCAAATTACAGAAGAACTGTAATCAATCAAAACGTTTTTAGGGCTAGTTTAAATAACTTTTGGGCTAGTACATGCTAGCTATAACTTTCCCGAATGGCAAGCTGTAAAACTGACTTTCCTTGCACCCAGGATCGGAAATCTTAGGCTAACCTGTGACGATTGGTTCCGGAGCTCACTCTTGAACAACCCCTCGAGTTTTTATATGTTATTAATTGTTATATATGTTGTTTGATGACAGAATGTAGTGTAACACTAGCTTGGATTGACCATTTAAATGAATCCTCTTTGGTCGTTCTTCGGCATGTCTAGTTTTCGTTTTGGTATTGTGAAAAATAATTCGGAATTTTTCCTAATATATTTGATGGATATTCGACTCCTCTTTTCTTTCGTCAGTTTTTATTTTCTCTGTGATTTTAATTCTTGCTATTGATTAGACCTCATGTTCTCTGTTTTGTCAATCTTATAGAGCTGTTTAGTGTGTCTCTGAATGCCAAGACCAAACTGCGCGGTTTGATCGAGATCATCTCTTCCGCCTATGAGTATGAAAGGCTTCCCATAAGGCATCACGAGGACGCTACCCTTAAACAAGTGAGTAACTGTCTAATTAGTCTGTTACAAGCAGTTTGTGATGTCAGTGCCACCCAAGGTGTTTAATGTACCCAGGCCTCGTCCACACGTATCCGGATATTTTTAAAAACTGAGGTTTTTTCTCCGTTTCAGAATTCCTTCCTCTCGTTAACGGCGTTTTCGGGTAACAAAAACCTAGTTTTTCTTAAATACGCCGGCTTATCGTTTTCGTGTTGACGGATGAAAATGAAGGTTTTTGAATACGATGACGACATACGTCGTACAGCGCATGCCCCACAAGAGATGCTGTCGTATCTCTATCGTTTTAGCGTTTTCGTTTGGACGAGCGAAAACGATTGGAGTACGCTCCGTTTTCAAAAAAATCGGGGTACATGTGGACAGGGCCTCAGTCGTGTTTAATTAGCGGGAAAAGTACCAGACGAGGAGACCTGAATGGTGTATTGTGGTGTTTGAAAGCTTGTCAGCCTAACAGTTTTTCAAAGGTTCATTTTTGTTGTTTGTAAAGTTTGATATAATGCTTGGGAGACTCATTTGTTTGACACGAAGCTGTGAGTTTGACATTCGCAAAATATTTCTAAAGCACCATAATGATGGAATAAGGGAACGTAATTGGCGGCCTCTTTAACCCTTCAAACCCTAACATCAACTTTTATATTCTCATTTGTTGTGCTCATACGTTTCAATAGAAGTAGTGGAGAGAATTTAGATTCATCTTTTGTGATCATGTCCTCATTATTCTCATGACCACTCTGTATTATATAGTATTGACAGTTACAAGGAGAAATTCCATGTTGATTTCTCTTGGGGATTAAAGGGTTAAGCAAAGCTAACTGCGTTACAAAATGTGTTTGTCTTTTAGCTTATGAATCGTGTACCTCACAAAGTGACCAATGCCAAGTTCAATGACCCTCATGTGAAGACAAACCTGCTGATACAGGCTCATATGTCCCGGATGCAGTTATCAGCTGAGATGCAGTCAGACACGGAAACCATCCTCGGCAAAGTAAGTGAACTAATACACAAACAGGGACGAAGAAATGCATGGATACTGAAAGGAATCGTCCTCTGCTCCGCATGGGAAACAAATGAATGAGTGAGGATAAGTAGTAAAGTTATGTAGCCGAATTTGAAAATCGTCGTCTTAAAAAGTACTCATTTACTAAGAAAAACAGTTGCTTTGGTATGCTGATCTTTCCTTTTTTGTTTCTCTCTTTCTTTGATGTGAGTGTGGCCTAGTTTGTCTTAATATTAACAACTATGTCCAGTTTTGCAATGCTAATTCACGCAGAGGTAGCTCACGTCTTTAACTTCAGCGTTAAGCGTTCAGCGTCAATCGTTTATGCAACCTCTGGAACGTCTTACCTGATAATATCAAAGCAGAGAAATGTTCAATTGTAATGTATGTGATATATTTTTCTTGTTCTTTTTCTACCAGGCCATGCGTCTTGTGCAAGCGTGTGTTGATGTGCTCAGTAGCAATGGCTGGCTCTCTCCTGCCCTTGCTGCCATGGAACTTGCTCAAATGGTATGTCAACTCAGCCAAATTCGTTTTCCAATAGATTGCATCTGCATGAAGTGTAGTGTTTTATGAGAAAGTAAACGTTGAATCTTGTCGTCGTTGTTGCCATTTTGAGACGCCGAAATTTAAGGAGCGGACTCACAATCATTCATGATCAGTCTGAATTTTGTTAAGCGGCAGTCAGTAGTTCTTGCTGAAAACAACGTGGACTAAGTGAATCCCGTTTTGCCCCCAGTACTCGTTGAAATGGTGATCACTCAGATGCATGAAAGGCAGCTCGACTACTCCTGAGAAATGAAAAGTGTATAGGTAATCAGCCAGCCGTAAACTAAATCCTTTTGTATTTATTTAGGTTACGCAAGCCATGTGGAGCAAAGACTCTTACCTCAAACAAATTCCTCACTTCACCGCGGAAATAATCAAACGATGCACGGACAAGGTATTCCAGAGCAGTTTTACTCTATTTGTTCTCGCCTTTCACCTTTGGCTCTTGAAACTGCCATAGTCGGGTTCAAATTAACAGTGGTGTTGTAAAGTGGAGAATGTTGTAGAAAGAGGTGTAACTTAGAAGGTAGAGGTAATTTTTACGAGAGAACTCTAACAAGGACGAAATTATACCTTTACTCAGCCGTTCCCGCCTGTCTTATTCCCAACTTCCTGCCAGCGTCAGGCAAGAGATGGGGGAAAAAGCGTGTACTTAAACAACAGCGTATACTCGGCTAGAGAGACGTTTCATACTTAATAATTTTTGTGTTTTCTTTCTCAAAGTAGCCCTTTTGCGTAAAGGAAAGATAAAGAAACTTTCACAAGCTTGTCCCCTTATATTCTTATTGTCTTTCTGCAGGGTGTGGAGTCAGTGTTCGATATCATGGACTTGGAAGACGAAGAAAGAAACAAGCTTTTGAGGCTGGATGATAATCAGATTCAGGTGAGAACGCGCTCTGATTACAAAGGTTATGAATTAATTGATAGGCTACGAGAGGCTATAACATTCGTTTTTGTGTCGTTCGACATTAGAGACCTTTGCATTCAAGACGACTTTCTCAATACTGAGTTGTGCGCGCGTGAACCAGCATCATTTTGGCGGGAAAACGTGACAGTCGTGCTAACTTTTCTGGCAAAAAAAGTACAGTGAAACTTTCCGGGGTGATTATTTTTTTTAGAAAACGCGGAAAAAGCTTAAAGTGGAATCTGGTCCTCGTAGTTGTCCGGCTCGTCCTCGATCAATCTCTAAAGGCCTCTTGTCATTGTGGTGAACGGCAAAAGGAAACCTCATTGAACCACTGGAAAACCCCGGAAGCGATTTTTGATTTTTGATTCATTTGCAAAGAAGCAGATGTTTCTAATTATTGTCCTTCTTCTGAGTGTATCTAATAAATATTTAGTCTCTGTTCAACGGTGCATCAGCATGGTGCTATTTTCTTTGTGAGAATGAAATAATTGTTTGTAAGTTATTGATTGTTGTTTTTCTTTTCAGGATGTTGCCAGGTTCTGCAATCGTTATCCGAACATTGAATTGTCTTTTGAAGTTCACGACAAAGACAACATCACTGCGTAAGTTGGCAGTTAGTAGTCTAAGATAAGAAAATTTAATAATATCGCAAAAAAGAAAAAGACAATGGCAACCAGGACAAGCAAAACAAGCACAATCATTAACAGCCGCAAAAAAAAGGGAAAAAAAAGAAGAAAATCGGAGGAAGAAAGAAACGCTTTTCAACTTTACCACGATTTTTGGTCACCACTTTGAAAGCTATACCTTGATGTGTTATGCGTTCAGTATAGGATAAATCATAAATATTGCAAACGCGAGTGCGTGTAAAATCTGAGCTCACGAGGTTGTTGTGTGTTATTTCAGTTATCAGCGGCTTTGCATGGAATCCCTTAACCTCATCTGCGTGCCTTTTTAAAACAGAAACATTTGGCCTAGGGCTTGACTGAAATATAAGCAATAGATTTATATTACCAAAACAACAACTCATTTGCCGTCACTGCGCGACTACGACGTGAAAGTGCATACTTTCACGTTTTGTGGAGGTGAACTCAAGACAGTGCGGTGTCTTTCTTTTTCTTTTCCCAAACTTCGATACAACCTTTTAGAATTCAACTCCATAAAAAATGACCAATATTTGTCGAATTGAACGAGACGGAATAAGCGCAGCCGTCACCGTCGTCGTTGCTTAAGCTCCGTGGCGACTCAGTGGAGACGTCTACCATCGGCTTAAATCAAATTTCTCATGTAGTGGACAGCGGCTGACTAAAAAGGAAAGAAGCGAATTGTTTTCTTTTTAAGCATTAGTCACCAGTTACTATCTCTGACTTTATGTTGATGGATCTTTATTTGTAGGGGCTCTCCTGTGAACGTTATTGTGGACCTTGATCGTGAAGAGGAGCAGTCAGGCCCTGTGATTGCACCGTTCTTTCCTGGAAAACGTGAGGAGGGCTGGTGGCTAGTGGTTGGTGACACTAAGAGCAACGGGTAAGAAACAGTGCTTATTGCTTTTTATTGAGCACCTGCGAAAGGGCTTTCCTCCAGTGAACGCCGCATATAACATCATAGCTATTGCAACCGTCAGGGTTCTTCACAAAATTAAAAAAAAAGGAGAAAAAGTGATTAAGAGTAGATAAAAAGGCGCTCGCTCGCTACATCGCTTGCAGGTAAGGCACCCCTGAAGGTATCCGGTAACCTTATAATTCGGAAACAGTCTTATTCGGGGCGCACATTTCAAGATGGCCCCCTAAATATTGTCCATCTGAGAAGTCATTCGCCTTACTGAGTTGGCCGCTGCTGAAACGAAGAAAGTAGTCACATGTGAAGATTCACCTATATGATATACAGATCCACAAATCAAAGAGAATTTTTAACCAGAGCGCTTGTAACTTGCTTCGTAGGCTAATCTCGATCAAGCGTTTAACACTCCAGCAAAAAGCCAAAGTCAAACTGGATTTTGTGGCTCCGAGTTCACCCGGTACCTACTCCTACACATTGTTTTTCATGTGTGATACTTACATGGGCTGCGATCAGGAATATCCCTTCAAGATCAGCGTAGGAGAGGCGGCAAGCGGAGATGAAGAGAGCGGCGATAGTGAAGCAGATGATTAAACATCACCGCGTCAGTTGGCAGGATAAACATCGGCGCATGCTAAGCCGTTAGCGATTTCCAAAAACCTTCATAACCTGCCATGTGAAAAGGAGATTTTTTATATGTATAGCATGAATTTCAGGCATTAAACTTTACAAATAGGATTCTCTAAAAGTTACATTTCACAAGTTCTGTCCAATCGGCCTCCTGTTTAGCTTTTTTCTCTGTCTGAAATACATAACCAGGAAAGCTCTAGAGTAGAATCGTCAAACCAAACGTAGCTTAGCTCTTAAAATGGTTCGGTGGAGCGCATGTGAGGAAAAAATTTATATATAAAGAAAATCGTTTCCACCTCACGTTTTGTTACAAAAGGCTTAAGAAATAATTCGTTCGCTTTCCGAAGTTTTGCAGCTCGCGAATAAATATCCGTAGGTCCCAGTTTCTGATAGCAGGTGGTTGGTTAGAGGAAGCTTGAACAACAACAACAGCAGTAGCAGTAATAAGAAGACCGTTCATTTCCCCAGATTGTATTTTAAGTAGTTTCTAAGAATTAACTTTAATCAAGAAGATTTCTTGCATGGAATAGTAGAATCGCTGAGAATAGTAGAATGTCTGGCCTAATCAGAGACTTTGTTTTTGTTCAGGTTTTATTTATGCACATCAAATACCACTTATCCATGTTAACGTAAGACGAACAAATTTCGCCACCAAGCTTCGTTTTGAAACTGTAAATTTGCCATGATTTCTTTAAAAGAATGTCCACGCACAGAGTGCAAATGCGAAGAATGAAGCCCTGCGGTGGAATTTGCTCGTCTGACGTGGTATAAGAGCTGTGCTATCACTTAACGCCATCTTGTTAATAGGGGACGTCTTGAAGCTCGCAAAGTTGTTTACAACCCAACCCGTCATCTTTGCAGGCACTTTAAGATCGATGGGATTAAAGCAATGTCATGTGGTTTTTCAGTAGGGCAAACAAGTGATAAAATTTGCTAATATTTAGTAATCACGGTCGAATTGGTTTATTCTGTTGTCTGGAATAAACAAACTCGACGATTTCTTGCATTGGCAATTTTTTCACTTGTTTGCTACCTGAGAGACCACTTGACATTGCTGTTATCCCATCAGTCTTTGAGTGCGTGCAAAGATGGCGGGCACCGTGAATAAGGTCTAGTAGCGGACGAGACAGTAGATAAATGACCTGCAAATAACGTACCTATTCCCAATAACTGGTGGGTGATGGTAGAGATTTCTGAGTGCTTCATGAGTACAGTCCTTTAATAATCAGCCTAACCAGAACGTTTTGGCGAATTGTTTTATATTTGTGTAATGTAGTGCCATGAGTTGTTGCTTTACTCGTGTACGAACAAAAACAGTTGACATATTTTGTAAATGACCCCATACCTGTAGAAAAATAAATAACTGACACTCGTTATTGTTTTCTTTATGCTGACCAATTTGCGTCTTTTGCGTTTTGTTATTATTTGTTACATAGTTATCTTCATTATTAATATATTCAAAGAACTGAACTGATAATTCATTCAGACAGTGAACATAACACGTCGGTATATTTAATTTCATTACTGTTATTGAACCCTGTGTGTAAGAAGTTCTTTTCGTTTATAGATTTCTGGAATTACCCCGCTTAACCCTCGTCCACACGTATCCAGATATGTTTGAGAAACGGTGATATTTTCTCTGTTTAATACTTCCGTCTATACGTAAACGGTGTTTTCGGGCAGCAAAAACGCAGGTTTTCGAAAACGGTCCCCAGAGTGGAGTTTTTCGGAAACGCCAAGACAAGCGAAAAAGATTCGAATACGCTTCGCGTGGACGCGTTTTTTTTTTTTTTAAAAATCCGGACTTTGGTCAGGAAGAGGCCTTATCCTGTGTACAGCTGATTTGCCCGTTATGTAATTTATCTTCCGACTGTCGTTTTAACCACTCGGCTTAGTTAACGATCTTTTATAATACTGAAGTAGCTTCTCTCTAATGGTTTATCAAGTTAACAATTTTGAGTAGAAACGGACTAGACTTCACTAAACACTAAATGCTAGCTTGGGATCACAGCTTTCCCTGAGAATGGATTTGGGCTTTTAGATTTACTTTGCTAAAAGCTCGCTATTGTTGTATTATCGTCATTACTCATTTTGAAATCATCTGTTGGGGGATTTATTACTAGTAGAAACGGTTTTGATAGAGCTAACATAATTAACACCTCGCTCAGCCCACCAATCATTCAGGTGTTTGTTGCTAATGGTGTATACGTTGTTCCGCCATTAAGACTACGGTCGCCAGATTCGCTCGCGTGAACTACTTGGGTCGGTATTTTTAAAAGCAATTTAATATCTCTTTATACTACTTTCGTCATTCGTTTGATTGATTTTGAGAAACCCGGTTTACTGCAGTAACTGGCACCAACTTTGAGACCAGAGTTAGGGCAACATTTCTTGTTTACAAGCATGCGAAGTCTACTCAGTTGACGATCTGCTGACAAGTAAGTTTCCAGCTTTTACCTTGTAAAAAGTTGAATTTATATTTGTGCGATTTTAATAGTATTCTATATATTCTCGATATTCAGTCAAAGGCGAACCGTGGAAGGTAACACTACTCTGCCGTTGTGAATTCTGAATCTTTATGTCATAACCTTGCTATTTACATCTATAGGTATTAATAATAAAGTGCGAAGGGGTTAATGGTTACCTAAGTTAAGTTAGCCTCGACGAACTCGCGCGGAACCGCTTGCTACGCAGGCTAAAGTTAAGTGCAAAGAAAGGGACGTATTCGTTCTCATGGCTCATACCCCCAGGCTTGTGAAATCTAGGGGGGTTGAAAATATGGTTTGCGAATTTTAAACAATTTCTCTGTAAGACAAAGTTTTAAAATACGATTATGCTTACTAGATATTCAAAATGTCTAAAATTTGAATTTTTAAACAAGTTATAGCCGTTGTGAGAATATTCTTAATGAGCCGATATCAAAAGTGGACGCCTAGGATGCATGCGTTATTTAAGACTAAGCGGCCGGCCGCGGACTGGGAAAAAACTTGCTTACGAAAACAGCCGACATTTCGCAACTCCACCACTCACGGGTTCTCCCGTGAAATTTCTTTTCGCTGGTAGCGTCACTAAATGACGGCTGTATTCTCAAGCTAAAAGAAAAGGCAATTTTTGACCTTCTTGACAAGTGGGTCACATCTGCTGGTTTTGGTATGAACCGTTTCTCATGACACCATTCACACGAAAACTAGTCCAAGACTAGAAATGAGGGGCCAACAAGATGCAAGACTAATGCGACCATTTATACGAGCTTCTCCCTAGTTAACTGATCCTAACTGAGCGAGGACACAAATTTTTCTCATAAGCATTGGGTTCTTCACCTGTAAATTTTGATGTGTGACCCTGGCGTACTATGTTGGACACGTCTTATTTTTCCTAGAAAACCAAGAACCTAATTCCGATTTTCGTTGTAAATTAGTTGAAGACTGCGGTAGGGTTATTCAAGAAAAAATATACTGCATTCCCGAAGAAAAATACATTTAGTTTCGCATTCATCCCTAAAGATCCTAAAGTTAAGGAGAAAGACTCGATTCGAATAGTATCATCAGCTGTATCATGAAGATTGGGACAAGATCTACCAATAGTTATAAATTCATGCAATGTGTTGGAGGAGACAGCGTGGACGATCCTGTTAGAGCGCTTACCAGCTAAGTCTCTGGTTTCAGGGGCGGATCCACACCGGTTTCCATCGTTTTACGGAAATCAGTCAGAGTTTTCATGATAAATATATTTTTAATATGAAAAATCTCTCCAAGTTGAAATCGAGAGATGAAATAATCCGCCGATTTGCAGGGCGTTATTCGAGGAGAATGGAATTGGCCAATATCCTATCTGAATGAGTCAGAAACCCAGGAAATATCCTTGGGGAGCATGCCCCTGCATCCCACTAGAACCTTGAGCCTTCGGTGCTCGTTCTCAGGAAATCGATCAATATCCAATCCGCGCCTGGGTTTGCCACGGCCAGTTGGGATTCTTAACCTTGTGGGCCTCAATGAAACTTTTGGTTTACCAGAAGTGTTAACCCTATAAAGTCAGTTTTTCTCTCTCTCAAATCTTGTAGTAAGTCAGTGAAAAACCTGGAGATTTATTGAAAACGTAAAAAAGAATTTGAGGGTACATGGATAAAATGAACCTACTTGTGAGGAAACAAGTTTTTCCATATGATGTTTCCAGTTCTAAAGTTTTGGAAAAAATAGAGTTTCGGCCAAATTCGCAACGACGATTGTTAACGCAACACAGGGTTGCCGGCAGTGTTGGAACGTTGTTCGAACTATTCGAAACAATGTCGCAACAATGTTGCAAAGTTGTGTTGCGCTAAAAATCGTCGTTGCGAATCGTCTTGTGTAACATCACCTTTAGGCCTGGGCCAAACGTCGAACTCAGTGAGTTAAGTTCATGTAAAGTTCGACGTCTGGCTCAGTTAAGGTGATGTTACACGGGACGATTTGCAACGACGATTTTTATCCGAACACAGCGTTGCAATGTTGGAACAATGAGCGCACCTTCGGCCTCAGGTTTGTTAGTCAAAAGACTATTTCGAGTTGCCATCGTACAATAAGGACTCTTTACCTTTTATCTTTGGGCTACAATCGAGAAAAAAATATGCAAAAGCTTAGGGGAATGAAACAAAATAAATTATCTTAAGGCTCAGGAATGAATAGTGAATTTCTTTTGTCTTATTCCCCCAAGACTTGGAGCCAAGTATGAATTTTAATATATCGAAATAGTGGTCCATTTGAGCATTTTCGTTTTAAGATAGCTTCAGTCAAGACATAAAAACCTACGTCAATGAATAACGTGCGTAAATCTGGGAAGTTAAAAAAAATGTCAACTAAGCTTATAATTTACTTACACAAAAATAAAATCGTGTAATGCTAAACGACGATGGCATTGAAAACGGCAAAGAAAAAAGAAAACAACAACAACAACAATGATAGGCCCAATTAGCAAAAAAAAACAACTTTGCACGTGCAGCACACTTTTTTGTACATTTCTTTGCCAATGTCGTTGCACGACTACAACGTGAAACTTTCTAGTAACACTTATTACGGATGAAATGTCGTATGTTCTCAAAAAAAATTACTGCTTGTGTTCCTATTTGCTTTCTTTTTCACTGCCGCTTATTTTCTCCTTACTGGCTGTTAACATTTCTCATTTTCTCACCACCGCTATAAAATTTTTATGTTGTGTTTCCAACGAAATTTGTCTCCTTTGTTTTTGTTCTCTCGCTTTGGTCCTTCTTTGTTACCCACGACAGCCTAGACGTTAAAATTTAGTCGAAAAGAGACTCGGCTTTACTGTTTTTTTTTTTCTCTAAACGTCTGGGAGGATAACCAAGATGACCTTAACATAGACGTCCATCATTACAAAACTCTCAAAAGAGCCGAGAC